TTGCTCTTCGGCCCTTCAACCAACCGCGATTCCGTTGGATGCATCTACTCCGCAGCCTCTGACGACTGGTATTCCATCCACAGTTACGCAAGGACATGAGCCTGTGCCGTTGGATAGCCTGGAAACTACTTCGTTTTGCACCATGAACACTGTACCGCAGTCACCGGGTATGTCTCTGATTGTTTTAAATCCGGAAGTCGATTTTAGGTCACACATCGTAAGATGATAATGCAATAAACAAGGCAGTGAATATTTATGGTTTCAGCCTCAAAGCGGTGAACTAATATTATGAATTTCCAGTTTCCAATTTAAATCGAACTATCGCATTACACCCGAGTGAAATGAACGTCTTTCTCTTAGGTGCAATTAAATGTTCACATTTGGAAGATGGTGCGTATTCTCTTGGTTGTTTGCCCGACTATGTCGTTTGCTCGAATGGCAAGGCGACCGTAAATCACTGCCCGAGCGAACTCGTCTTCTCGCCTTCATCTGGCATCTGTGATTGGCCAGAGAGCTGTGATACGGACATACCCGCTGAAGAGGAGGCAGGTTGTCCGATGGGAATGACCGAAGTCTTATTCGATCCGGATACAACGATTCCGCAACCTGATACGTCTGCAGAGACGCGTATGTGATTATACCCATTGAGTTTTAGTGGCATTCGAAGTGTTCTCTTCTCGTTTGCAGTTGTTTGAATCGGAATACCAGGAAAAATTTCTGTGATTCAGATGCGTTCGATTGCTCGAATCTTCCCGACGATACTTACGGTGGATCGTGCTCTCGCGATTACACAAAATGCTCGAGTGGTCACGCGTCTGTCCGCTCTTGTCCAGCTGGTTTAGTGTTCGATCAGAATACGAGACGGTGCGATTGGCCTTATCATTGCGGCAGCAAGGAACGCTCGCCAACTCATACAACTGCATCGGACGTCAAGTCTACTGTTATACCAAAAGTGAACATTCTTTTTTGCCGTACATGTTTTTAATTCGACCTATTGATTTGTTGATTGATTTATCAAATATGTTCATGTTCAAGGAGTGGATGTGTGAAAGTAAGCTTATGTACTGCAGTGAGTCTTTTCTGTTAGATTGAGGTGACGATAATGAATGGACTATGGTAAACTTAACAGCTGTTATTGCATCAGCCATGTCTAGATGTTCAGAGGTGTTTGGGTCACCAATTGTCTCTTTGCTTGAGGGAAGACTATTAGTCAGAAAGGAGTTCTGAAGGTCACTGTAGTCACTACTGAACATTTTAAGTTCTGTTCGACTGGCTCTCGACATGTGATCACTGAATGTGCCACCGTTTATGTGGAATGTGTACAAGGTTCATGGCGTAAAAAGGCTTGTCCTGACCGCACCGTATTCGACCCAACAATTTCACAATGTGCCTATTCGGTACCTGGTTGTTCTGCAACGGCCGTCCGCCAGCAGCCTCATCTCGTATCCACAGTTCCACCTCGAACAAAATCAACACTCATTCCACAGTCGCATGTAATTCAACCACCAGAGTGTCCAGCCGGAGAGGTGATACCGCGTGGTGAATGTTTAGCAAGTTACCTGGAATGCAGCAGTAGCGGAAAGTTCGTGTTACGTCGCTGTGATGAGGTAGAGTTGATCGTTCTTACTGATTGCATGTTATGTACTCTACTGATCACATTAAAGACTGTTCTGCATTTGTTGTGGTCACAAAGCAACAGGTATTGGAATGTTGACAGTATGAAACTGTATAACGAAATGATCAGTGATAAAGAATAGATGATTTCAGGGTTATTTGTTTGATTTCCGACTGAAAGTATGTCGTTACTCAACACAAATCTCAGAATGTATTTCACCGTCATTCGAACCAACTGAGCTGCCACCAGTGTCAACTACAATCGCTCCTCCAATCAAAAAGCCTATTCGCATGACAGATGTAAGTCTTTGCTTTGTGTTACCAGTAAAATGAATTCAACAATTTCTGAGTTTGCCAGTTTGCCAGTATTAAGACGTTTTCCATTTTTGCATTTTTGGGCATTTTCGTAGTTTGGAAGCGATAGAAGGTCAGTGAGATAGCGGCGGATTAATGTGAGCTAAGTGCACTGGTTGCATATGATATCCGCTCGAAATACGATGCATTTATGCGTACATATTACTTGTGCTGTGCACAGTGGGATCACCTTTGTCGCCTGCGAAACCATCTTTTTCAACATTCTTTTTTCAATTTTCTTCCAACGCTGCCCATCAAAATTTATGAACACCAGCCAGTTCTCACGTGTTGTGCAGATGAACTCGAGTGATTTTAATTGACATGCTAAGACACACATTTCCATGAGCGACGACAGCATGCATAGTGAGTGTGAAATTTGATGGGGCGAGATGACCGCGATGTCGCATTTTGACATCGCTGAGTTTCTATCGCCCTTAAGAGCTTTTTACTTCGTCTATGATCGTTAAAAATTCATTGATAACGGTGAAATGTAAAAATCACAGAGAAATGCAACGCTCGGAAATGTGGCATATTGCAAGTGTTTTGAATATTTTCTTAATAACGAGAGTTTTCAGCACGTTGATGACACATTCATAGTACNCAAGTGTTTTAGATATTTTCTTAATAACGAATGTTTTCAGCACGTTGATGACACATTCATAGTACCTTCGGCAAGAATACCATCGTTGAGTCTATTCGTCAAAATGCCACCATATGGTAACGCTTATGATGCTTTCGGACATAAATCTCACCTGGTGCCCTATCCTCCACCAGAACCGGCTCTTTTAAGTTGGTCTCATTAAGATCATCATTTTTATCATTACCTGTCATTGGTCATTGTTTTAGTGCCTGCTGATCTGCACAATAATTGATCTTGTTTCTTTTGCTCGCCCATTAATACTTTATTGTTTTTTAATCTTTTGTTGGCTTTTATCATTATTTATTTCGGTATGACTCTTTAATCATCATCGATTAGTTTGATATCGATTTTAGTTGATGAATCATTATTCCTCATTAACAAGGTCACATTGTGATGAATTCCATTACTATTCTTTAGCTCGTGATGTCTTCAACCTTCCAGCGGTGCTGCCGATTGGCAGAACTGCATTCATACCACCTTGGGTAGTGCCTCCTCCGCCTAGCCAGCGAATATTCCCTCCTGGTGGACCACCTGCACTAGTTCGTGATGCCTATATGGTTCCTTTGAAACCAGTTTATTTCAATCCTTTCCGAGTGAGTTTTTTAGTGGCTTTTTTCTTGTTTGTATCAGATTTCTTCTAAGATAACTGGCTTATGAAAGCATGTATTACTGTGTCAAGTTTTCGAAAAATTCGATGAGAAGAAAAATGGCATTGATAAGTTAACGTAATCACATGTATTTATTACAGTTTTATGACTGTATGAATATTATTATTATGAAGCTGTGTTGCATGCGATTTAGGTGTGTGATGCATTCATTTCAACAGGATTACTTCATTTGTTCACTTGAATTGTTTTATTTTAACAATTGCTTGCTTTTAGGTACCTTCTGTTCCGGAAAGAGGTGTTGATACTTTCTCGGCGGTACCACTGCCATACCGGCCATCACCTATATTCCAGGTGTATCCTTATCCTCCAGCAACTGCTGACCCCACCACGACCGCACAACCTCCATTTAGTGGTGGCGCAGTGGTACCTTCTAAGGCATGTGAATAAAACTTCTTTTTTTTTGAAAAACTGTTGGGAAAGCAGGTTTGATGGATAATATCTATGATAATTTTTGTAGGTTTTGAGAAATACAGCGAAGTTCGGCCGGAATGATGAGGTAGGAATTTCAAGGGAGTACAGTAGAATAGAGCAGAGTGAAATTGAAGGTTGGTCTTATTTGGAATATTTGGCATAATTTTAATCTCAATTTATTGACTTGGAAACATGACCTATTAGTTTGGCGGACTTTATGAATTGAACGTTTGAAAAGGCCCGAATCGATTTCTTGAAACTGCTTTCCTGCTCACTCATCTGATGCTGCATGCAGGATGATAAGTAGGTCAGCATAATGTTAATGAAATTGGGGTGGATTTTTCATGGAATCATAGAATGTTTTAGCTTCAGGACAAGAGGACGAAACAAAACAGAATGATCAAGTGTCAGCACTCCGCCCAAAGCGATCGCTTCACCATTTTCGGTTCAGCCCAAATCCACCAAGGCCACCTGTGAGTGAATGATTCNAATTGTGCTATTTCATCGAACTATCGTTCTATATCATTCTTCTGAATGCATAGTAATAACGGCAATGTTCAATATATTCCACGTGTAAAGATCAGTCCATTGAAGGTATTAACTGATTGCTTTTAGGAAGAGGTTGTAAGCCACCGTACACATGATGAAATGCCACAATTTCGAGGAAGTTCATCTGAGGAACCTGATGAGCTGGATTTCGATTGTTCCCAAAGAGAAGGCGCAACGATTTCATTGGGATGCTCAGAATCCTTTCTGATGTGTGTGAATGGAGAAACAAATGTTTATACGTGTCCAGAGGGACTTGTCTTTGATAAGGTTCCTAGTTACTGCCGTTTACCAGATGCAGTTTATTCAGCCTTATCAATAGAATCCAATAATTCAATTCGTACATTTGATTTAGGTGTCTGATTCGTGCAATCATCCAATAGCAACTGGTGAATGTGGTGACAGTGGCAATTTCGAATTGGAACATGAGCAAGCAAATGATCCGCTGATGCTAGTTCAGCACATTGCTGACACAGTAATGCATCAACCCGATTTCACATCGTCGGATCAAAGAGACGTCGCTCAACAGAACCAGCCAGGAGAAAATCTTCCTATCTACGGTAAGATAGTTTGAAGCATCATCCAGTAACATCATCGGAATGTATCGTCTCTCAATTTTCGGCTAATTATTCAGATAATTCGGCTAATTTATGGCTAATTCGGTTGCCAATAGTGATCATGGCTTACTATTGGCAGCCGCCGTATTGCTCACGATTAAAAGTATCAATGTGATTCAAGGAAATATGCGAAAAGTTGTATCCGTCCGTCGAATGCTGTAGTCATTAATATTCTCAGTCGTAACACTGAAATGCGTTGGTGTTTTCAGATCCATCGTTGGAATCTTTCATTCAACCAGCTTACAATTCAGATATAAGATGTGCGTATTCGGGTGCATCTGCTGTTGCGATCGGATTCTGCCGTATAGACTTCATCGTTTGTCTGCGTGGTTTTGCACATGACGTGAGTGTTTTTGGTGTGTTGTATCGCTTCGGAGCTATGAATGAGCCTTTTGATGATCTGATCAGTTGGTGTGGGAAAAAATTGAATGATTCAATGACGATACACTCCGAAATTGCAGACATTTTGTATTCGTGGCTACTTGTTCGATCATATTCTTCGCACTTGCATGCCAGCGGCTGAATGTGGACGTTGGCAAGTGCCATTGCTGGATCGAAAGATGAGTGATGACAAAGTGTCGAGATATTCGCATCCAATCTGTGCCGGTGTTGAGGATGGCTCGAAGATAGCAATTGGCCCTTGCTATAATCAGTATATCTTATGCAATGCGGTTGGCCATTTTGCCTGTTTGTTAATAAAGTTGCACTTTCATGAGTTTGCCTCACGTCGGGCATTATAACCGGATGAGATGATCAACTTTTTAGGGTTCAGTGTCATACCGTCATTGCGTTAATATTGATGAAGTTTTCTCACCGACTGTCGGTGTGTGCATCCCCAAGTCGAATAGTGGCGAATGCGTGCGGGATTCGACTGTTCAGTCTGATGGTCGTACTCAAGTTATTCACCGACAAGACCAGGACCGGAGTAAAAGCCAAACCGAGAAGCTTCAAGAACAAATCAATAAAGATCAGATGGCAAATCAAGTGAACAGTGATGATCATAAGCAAGAGAAATTGGTTATGCAAGGTCAACCAATACTCTCACAGGAGACGGGTAACGGATCCTCATCGAGAAATCAGTTTTGTTTGGTACGTGAAGATGGATTATATAGACATCCGAAGAACTGCGCTAATATCATTCAGGTGCGACGTTAACCTTATCAAATTTGAATATTCTTTTATTGTCTATTAGCTTTGCTGCCTGAATAATATATAGTGTGTTTTGTTTTGCAGTGTTTCGGTGGAGAGCAATTCGAGTACGAGTCATGTTCTCGTGGACTGGTGTTCAATGAAGTGTCTGGTGGATGCGATTACAGAGCGAATGTACCGGATTGTGCCAACTATAGTGCTGCTACTGCCACTGCAGGGCCGTCATCGGATAACACTGCTACAGCAGGTAACATTTTTGTGTTCTGTTTTGAAATCACTCAAATGGCGAATTGCAATTGAACGTCATCATAAACCTTCAAATTATGTAGCGTTCAACAATGAGCACTGAGCAGTTGTGCATTCACAATGTGAAGATCACGGGAAGAGTATGAAGATATATGTGAAATGTTTATCTTACCTTTCAGTAATCAATGTTACGTTGAGATAGCAAATAGGTTTATGTGTTGAAGCTTTGTTCGTTTCTCTATAGTATGCTGAATAGTACTATTGATGATTTTGAGTTTGGATGCCTTTTACCTTGATTGAGATTGAAATTATGTAGTAATAGCAAATTTAGGTGGTGCATCATCATCCACAGATGATGGTTGTCGAGGCATTTCGCATGGTGGATTTTTGGTGGATGAACGGGACTGCTCTCGATACTACCGTTGCGTTTGGGGCAAACTGGAACCGATGAGGTGTCCACAAGGAACAGTCTTCAATACGCTTCTGAGCGTTTGTGATTATCCGAGCGAGACGGGTTCGAGCTGTGGAACAACTTCGGTTGCACCCACATTGGCCGTTGCACCCACATTGGCCGACAGTCTTGACAGCAGTGATGATTTCGGCACTTTCATGCTCTGATAAATGGTTTTGCGCTTTGAGACTCTGGGACTGATGATTTTGATATCAGAGAATTGAAACATGAGAGTTAATTATTTTTTGGTGGGCATTGTTAAGGTTTGTTAATATCAAATATTGAACCAACACCGAACCATCATCGCTTCAAAAGAATTTTATTCAGCTCATGGCTTTATCAGCAAGCTTGTGATAACGTTTTTATAAGAGGATGTTTTATCTGAATGATGGATCATGCGTTCAGTTTGTATTGTGTTCATATGTTTTAAATATTCGTCCATTTGTCTGCCCTGAACGATCTAATTGAAGATGTCTTTCATGCTTGTGATCTATTGCTTTGATGCTTTTGTGATTTTGATTTTGTTTTTATTTTTGAGATCCAAAATGTTGAGTTTGCACAATTTTGTAGAATATTATGTTGCGTTCTCACCGCAACGAAATATCTGCATGATACATNTTGGATATTGAAGATAAAGGATTGGAAAAAAAAACTTTAGCTTGGCTTCAAATTCTGAATTCAATTCGATTCGTTTTCCTGCAAAGCTCATTGAATTCAACCCGCAGCAGTAAGCACATATCGTGAGATCAGCAGTTTTCACATTTGGGCTTCATCCGTACACATTCACTCCTTGTTTGCTGATGACTCATGTACCACACTTATGCACAACCTCATCTCTGCCTTGTTCTATTATGGTCGTCGTCTGTCATCGGTTTGCTTTTGTGTGTTTCATAGACATGTCACCGTTTCCGTTTCTTATAATAGTTGTCAAATACAGTATTGCTATCATATGATACTGTTTTTACATTGTCCGTAATGCGATCCCCATGTTCTTACGTGCTGTGAGTTGTTTGTTTCATTTCACGGTGCTCTTCTCTTTTTGCTATGTTTCTCTCATCTCTATGAGTTAGTCGCTTGTTGCGTGTGGTTTTTACGGTGATTAATTACAGCATGTTTTAATAATGTTCATTTATTGTGTTGATAAAGTTGTTCAGTTTTTGCTTGTTCCCTTCAAAGCAATACTCCTCTACATTTATGCGTGAAAATGGACAGAGTTTGCATGTAAAATGAACTGAGTCAACTGATTTGGCTATGTGCGGTTATACGTATTCCGAATGATTTCAGTAGAATTCGTCGCAATATTGTGGGTTTCATGAAATATTTTGCTGAATCGTATATCCGGAAAGATTGGGTGATTAAAAATTTTACAGTGAAGAGAAATATTTTACAGGATTTAGATGAAACACGATCAAAAACACTGAAACATTCATAGATTGTAGGTTGAAGTCGTTCATTCGAGAGCTACACATCTTTACAAGTTTCAATAGATAATTCACGTTTCACTGCACAGATATGTAATTATCGTTGCCATTGACTGTTGTAAACATTTATTGAGCGTTCAATCGATTGCCGTCACAAATTGCATTAACAAATTGAACTGATCAACATTGTTCAAACAGAGAAGAAGATTGCCAATAGTATGAATGAAATAACTGCGACTGTTAAAAAAAGGGCACCTGAAATTAATAATAATTGTTCACTTTACGTCAATGATGAACCGATTGACAATGAGTCATGTG